TATTAATTTCGGGGAAAAATTCAAGCTACCTCAATTTTAATGAAGTGGGAGATAAAAAGATGTTTAGCTCAATCAAGGCCCCCCCAATCTCTACAGTGTTATATGTATTTGGAGTCAGTTGCTGAACTGCTTGAAGCACAAAACCTTATTTCAGTCATCCTCTTGGGCTGCTACTTTGCCAATAAAGCTTCAATTATCACAAACCACAATTCTAGCAAAATATGGAAAGGGTCACTTTACAAAGGATTTTACTGACTTGAGGTTTTTAATTTACTCGCCTGGAGATTATTTATGCAAAATGTTCTGACAGTTCACAGATGACTTGAGCATTCAACTTTTTAAAGATTTTATAAGCTCCCCTGGATCCTACATGAGGGAGCTATCCCCCTGGGTGAACATCAGAGTTTTACCCAAGGGCTGTTTTCATTTTTCAGTACTGAAAATGCCATTTCTTATTTGCCAGGGTTTGCCCCTGCTTTGTGCGCAGGCATTATAATGAGAAGGTCTCACCTTAGGATGCACCATCTTTCCCTTCCTGCCAGCCACATGCCATTCAAATACACTACACCAGGGAAAACTGCCTTGGAACAATTAAGAATATTAAAACAAAATTGTGCTTTCACCCCATCTTGTGGGGAAGTGAAACAGCTTGCCTCATTAAAGATTCAAATAGTGGCTAGTATTGTCTTGAAGCAGGCTGACGAGTTTTTGAGTCTCTAATTTAGCCAAAATGCAAATTATAATATTGCCCAAAAGGTTCAAATTGGGGCAAAGAAGGCTCATCGAGAAAACAGAAATATATACTCCATACACACAACATATATATATATATATATATATATATATATATATATATATATATATATATATTGCAACAGACATCGTCACTCAAAATCTCCACTCCTGTTAACCATTCAGTCTGAGCAGAGCAGAGAGCACGCCAAGACTGAAAGCCTGGCTCCATTCTCTCCTTGCTGTTTAAGAAATTTACTCTCTCAGCATGATATGGAAAGCAAATATCATAGAATTACTTCATACAATTCTGATGAATCTGAAGCAAGAAAACACATGTAAAATGACTAGAATAACTGTGTGACACATAACTTGATATTTAATAAATGTTAACTACATCTTATTATGAATGTACTTTTGGTAATGGTATGAAAAAATCCCTAATGTGAAACCTTTCTTAAGAGAATAATTATTTCACAGAAACAACTACTTATCTCCACAATATGATCTCTGAGGCTAATCTAAATAACAGCACTTTTTCATCTTCTAAAAATTTTAAAACATACATGAAAGTGGAGAGAATTGCAACATTCATCGTCAAATTTGACAATCACCATCTGTATTTCACCTATACTTCCTGCCACTTCAAATTTGGATTATGTGGAAGCAGATCTCAGAAATAATATCATTTCACCCATAAATATTTCAGTATGTCTCTAAAAGTTGTGGATTTAACAAAAACATAACCACAACACTATTATCTCACTTTTAAAGTTAATAATAATTCCTTAGTATCATTAACTGTCCCATCAGTATTCAAATTTCCCCAATCTCATATGCATGTTTTTGCCCTAACAATTTATATAATCCTCTTAATGATTTTTTTCTTACAATGTATCAATAATCATTGAAGAAATCAGGTTGTTGTTTCCCTGCGGCATCTAAAGGCTAATTTTTCTGATGGCATCACTATGGTGTATTTTAATGCATTTCTCTGGTTTTATATTCTTTTTGAAAACGTAATAAATCTAGAGTCCTAATCAAACTGAAGTCTAATCTTTGTCATGACCAAATTACAGGTGATAGTGTAGAATTCCATTAGGAGGACTGCGGCTGATTTGGTGGTGGGTACTATGGTAGCAATACCTGATGGGGGCATCCTAATAGTACCTCAATTAAAAAATATTAAATAGGGCCTCCCCGGTGGTACAAGGGTTAAGACGCAACCTATGAAGCTATCCGCAGCAACTGCAGCACGAGTTCAATGCCCTGGCCAACCAGGGAGCTACCTACATGGCGCAGCAGACCTCTCCTGACTCACCCTCTGCTCCCCTCCGCAGTGTATTTCAGTCAGTCTGCCTGTTCTGCTCCCCACTCTGTCTCTGGTGAATCCTCTCACCCCCCCACACACACACCTCTGTCCTGTACCCCAGTTCTTGTATGCATAAATAAATCTTTAAAAATATATTAGATAAATAAGCAAACAGAGATGAAAAGACAGAATGCCTGATTGTAGGGATATATGAGAATTCGATATACCATCATTACAATTTCTATGTAAATCTAAGAGTATTCTAAAAGCAAAGTTCATTTCTTAAAGTGAAAAAAAAAAGGTAAACAATGCTTTCTTGTCTCTCTTTTTGTTGTGTTTACAGCTACTTGGTGGTTTTTCCCTGAACTTATGATTGCAAATGGAAATATTCTGTCATTAACTCTTAATTTGTTATCTGCAGAAAGAAAACCCTCTTTTCAAATCCTGAGGCCATGCAAAAAAGGCAGAAAAAATTGCTTCATTTCTTCCTTCTATTTATTTCAAAATATTTAATTGGTTCACTAGCATTCTGCACAAGTGGCCATTTATTTTATGTATTACTATTATTTTATGTATTTTATCATGTCTGATATATTTCAATAGATCACAGATGCTATTCCAATTGATGATCAAATTACTCCTTGGTTATAAAGAGCCTGCTCAAGTTAGAGCCTGAGTCTTTTTTTTTTTTTTTAAGATTTATCTATTTATTTATACAAGCACTGGGTACAGTCAGAAGCGCGGGAGGGTGAGAGAATTTGCCAGAGCCAGAGCAGGGAGCAGAGCAGGCAGAAGGACCGAAGTACACTGCTGAGGGGAGCAGCGGGCGGCTGGAGAGGTCTGCGCGCCATGTGGGACCTCCTCCAGGGGCCAGGGAGCAGCCGGGGATCGAACCAGCGCTGCAGAGGCTGCGGGCAGCTTCGCAACCCAGCGCTCAACCGCTGCGCCACCGGGGAGGCCCCCTGAGTCTTTTTTGACACAAACCCAATAGCCCTTACATCTCTTCCTTTCTTTCCAAGTCATCTCCTATTTCCCGACCTAGTCCTACATTGGGGAATTAACCTTTTCTCCAAGGATCTTAGTTCCTTTAGAAGAAAATGACATTTATTTATTTTTTCATACTTATTTTTAATTGGGGTAAAACTGGTTTAGACACTTATGTGCTCCAGAGGTATAAGTTCACACCTCCTCCAATGCATGTCACTGCACCCACCACAAAGTCACCTATACTTCTCCACAGTCCATTGAGCCCCCTCGACACTTTATTCTCCAACCTCTATCAACCCCTCTGATAATCTTAATTCCACAGACACATTTGAGTGTTTGTTACCAGTTTGGTTTTCTCTGACCCTTTGTTTAGTTTTTCTATAGTCCACACATAAATGAAACCATTTTGTATTTGTCTTTCTCCTTCTGATTTCTTCTAGCAATACCCCCTCCAGTTCCACCCATCTTGTCACAATGGCATGAGTTTCATCTTTTTTTTAATCACTGAGCAGTATTCCATTGTGCACATATGCCACATCTTTTTTATCCATTCATCTCTTTGGACACTACTTAGGTTATTTCCACAACTGACTATTGTAAACAGTGCTGTAATAAACATAGGAGTGCCTATATCCCTTGAAAAAGTGTTTTTGCATTCTTTGTGTAGATACCTAGGAGTGAAATTGCTGGATCAAATGGTAGATGTATTTTTAATATTTTGAGAAACCTCCATACAGTTTTCCATAAGGGCTATACCAGTGCATTCCCAACAGTGTATGGAATTCCTTTTTTCCACATCCTTGCTAAAACTTATTGTTCCTGGAATTTTTGACATGGGCCATTCTCACATATTTAAGTCATTTCACTGTGGTTTGATTTGCATTTGAGGGAAATGACATTTAGACACCACAGTGGCAGCAAAGGGATGCTCATTGCTATGCAATTCATCATTGTTTCTATGCCTTCTTAGTGGACAGAGCTAGGAAATACTTATTTTAAACATAAAATACATCACAAGTTCATACTACAAGGTTTCTATTAACACCATTCACCTTTACTGATCTTCACCTTCATCTTCTTCTCTGATGACCAGATTTCCAGTTCTCAAGGACATCAACATATTTATACATCTGTTTTTTATCACAACACTAATCTTGGGACTTCAATATGATTACTATCTTCCCAAACACCTTGACCATAAATAAATTTTTGCTACCTTTCTTTTGTTCTTAGAGTGTATAGTTCTGGGTATACATAGTGAAATTACTATGGCTTAAATTTTTAAGAATTTATTTTTCATATGATTATGCCACCAATTTGTTACACAGTTAGGTTAATTGTTTCACTTTACCTTTGACATTTAGGATTGCATTTTATATGTAACTTTATTTTATAATTATTTAAAATATTTTCATTGCTCAACAATCATATTTACAAAAAGTACATATTCAAGCAATGCTAACTTACCTACTTGTTCCTACCTTCCCTTCAAAAAATACTTTATATTTAATAGTTTAGCATTCTATTTTTAATATCAAAAAATATATCTCCTACTTTGAAGAGGTAAACTGTGCTTACATTTATCCATCTTCTTTATTTCAGTCAATAGCTGACTGCATCACATGACTTTCCTCAATTATATTAAAACAATTGCTTATGCTACCTCAAATAATGTACTGACTATTAGACATTACCATCACTCAGTAAGAGTCAGTAATGTAATCTAATGAAAAAGCAATGCTTCAGTTTAAAACAAATGGTAAGTTTTAGAAGCATAGGTTACATCTCATGTAAGGTGACGGCAGTAAGAACAGTTTTAAAGCCATTTCTCTTACAAGTTGATTGTTACTATTAAAGTCTGGACGTATTGTACTTCTTTATATGAAAATCTGCCCAAAATTAGTATATGAATTCTCTTCCCCACGTTAGGCATTTGTAAAATATCCCATTAATTAAAATCCTGACTTACTTGTAAAGCGCTCTTGAATTCACATGTTATTTTTCTTTTTGCCAGTCCATTGCTTGTATACATTTATGAAAGAAATTTATGATGGAAAAATTTAGAGTTAGAAGAACTGAACAGAAATCTTAGCTAAGCTGCTAACTAAATGGATGGCTTTTAAGCAAGTCTCTTCACCTGTGAGAACTTTAATTTTCTTATCAGTATTATCAGTAATATCAGTAGAGTTAATTCTACCAATGCCAGAGTGTTGTTATTTGAATGCAACATGCAAACTCCATAGCACTCTGAAAATATAAAGTATAATAAAGAGGGAATTAAATGGCTGGTTTGCTAAAATCCAATCTTAAAGCTTTAATTTGTTTGTTTAAAAACGATAGCAACATCAGACTGTGAATGAGAGCTTTACAATCATCCAAGCTGCAGTCTGGAAACTGACTTTTTGCCTGAACAGAACTCAGTTATAAATATCTGTCTTTGGATTTGACATTCAATTTTGAGATGAAACGAACATGCTTCAGAATTTTAATCTAACATACAAGAGCTAAAACTCTGAAAGTAGATAAAACATTTTAGGGAAAAAAAAAGGCAACTTGTTAATCTCTAGTGGCTTTTAATTCCAACAATGATTATTCTATATAGAAAATCCTTCTTCAGATAGAAACTCATTTCTGAAAAATTCATCTCCAAATCTTTTATATAATCTAAGTTGAAAAGGAACTGTTTCTATATTTTGCTAAGGAAAAATAAAATACTAAAATTAATCGTATCTTCTCTAAAAACTTTTTAAACAGGCATAAACTTAAAGAAAGAATATTATACTACATAACCTTTCAAATATCATTTAGCCAACGATAAAGCAACAGGAACAAATAGGAGATTTATGACACTTTTAAAATTCAGCTATGTTAATAGTTGCCTTTTTTACCCACTGAAGTTACCCATTTTTGCCAATGAACTCCAGGCATGATTCCATGCTGAAGAAATTTGCTTGCTTTTATTTTTTTTTTAAGATTTTTTTTATTTATACAGGAACTGGGGTATAGGCCAGATGCACGGGAGGGTGAGAGGATCCACCAGAGACAGAGCGGAGAACAGAACAGGCAGACTGACCGAAACACACTGCTGAGGGGAGCAGTAGGCGAGACAGAAGAGGTCTGCTGTGCCATGTGGGTTTCTCCCTGGCCAGCCGGGGATCGAGCTCATGCTGCAGAGACTGCAGATTGCTTCATAGTGCGATGTTTAACCTCTCGCGCCACCAGGGAGGCCCAGAAATTTGCTTGCTTTTAAACAGAAATCTGACTTGGGGAGTGCACATTGAAGGTTACACCTAAGTTCATATATAATATTTTTAAATACTGTGCATCATTTTTTAAATTCTAAACTAAGTTGTCCATTATTTTCCTCTTTCCACTTAAGTCCTGCATGCTATCAATAGTTCATATGTCTAAGTTACCAATCTTAGTCAAAAAACGCTCACTGGAGAAGAGAGGGCAAAGAAGCTTAGTAATGACAATTTTCAAACACTACAAAGGCAGCAAGAATAGTCGCCTGTTGATTTTAGTATTTACTTTATTATAATTACTTTTTTTTTCTTGATCCCTTATATGGATACTTTACATCCCTTCTAAAAATTAAACCATCTGGTATTTTTCTTTTTCTTTCTGGCTTATTTCACTGAGCATGATCCCTTCCAGCTCCATCCAAGTTGCGGCGAATGCCCCGAGTTTAAATTAGTGGTGGGAATTTCATGGGGACTGTAACTGAGATGACAAAGCATTCATTATACAAAAAGGAAGAATGATGTAAAAAATATATTTAAAAAATAAAATAATATAAAATTTAAAACATAAGAAATCCAGGTAATTCTTACAAACACAATTTGGAAGTTACTAAATTTGACATACAAGTGTTGATTTCAATTTTTTTAAATAAAGGACCATGCACATTTGACTAAGTTCAAAAATTTAAAAAAAAAGCATCAAGAACAGGTCAATGATTTTTCACATATCTATCACCTAGATGTCACAATATCAAGAACTTGCCATATTTACATCATCTTGCCTTTACTGCTTTGCAGACGGCTTTTGAAGCAAATCTCAGACTTTAGGCACACTTCAGCATACATCTCTGAAAAGGACAGACATTGTCTTACATAAACACCATGCCCCATGTCATTTTCACCATAACAAAATTGACAATGGTTCCTTGATATCGTCTGTTCCCAGCTCGTAATGAAAATTTCCCCATTGCTCCAAAATAATCACCTTAGAGTAGGTATGTTCAATTTAGGACCCAAACAAAGTCTATACATTCCATTTGGTTGTTACATCTCCAAACACCTGTTTTAGCCCAGAATTGTGCTTCCTCTACTTTCCCCCTGCCACTGACATGAATTTCTGCTGTTGAAGAAAACTTCCCCTCTCTTTTAAACATGTAATTCAAATAAATTGCCTATTTAAACTTCAAAATACCATCAAGGGATCATGTGGCAGACACAGGTACAAAAATTTGGGCTTTGTTCCCACATGGTATGGAGTTATTCCTAGGAAGCAGCTGCCAACAGAAGCCTTTTGAAAGTGATTATCTGAGCAAAATGGATTGAGCCTGGTCTAAAGCACTTCCCAGTACTTTAAACCTAGTTCCCCGTGGACTGGACCAGAGATTGGACCCAGTGATAAATGTCCCCAGCAACTTCCCCCCTCTGGGAGATTGTTCCCTGCACAGAGATTTTTTAATAGACACATCCTCCCAGGATGAAATTCCTAATTCCTTTCTCCGTGTTGGATGTTGTGCAACATCTATTGTATCACCTATTTGGACTATAATTGTAGATCTGTCTCCAGCTCACTACATGTTAGATCCCAATGGGAGAGAATTTTGAATTTCCAGGGCTTAGCACAGTGCCTAGCATATAACAGTTTGTAGAATAAACAAATTAAATTAATTGATTACATGTCTCATATTCAGAATATGAAAAAGGTAAATCATTTATTTTAGAGAAGCCCTCCAGTGCATCTACAAAAAATAACAGTACGACAGAGGAACAAAGGCATGGTCAGTGATGATTCACAAAATTAAAGAGTCTACAAAGGAAACAAAGGAGAAAGATAGCGAAAGAAAGAGTCCAACAGAACAATGTACGCTTTCAACTAAGACATTTCTCTGAAATACTAAAACATAAAGCAAACCAAATTGTGGTTCATAAGAGGTCACAGATCCATCACTTTGTCTCTGCACAGGAACATCTTTGGCTGACTAGCGGATAAGCCATTTTTAGTATTAGAGTTGAGATAACAAAATTTAAATCAATGTTTAACAACCTTTATTGTTTAGAATGGCAAACCCAAATCCCTTACACTTCAGCTTAAGCACATTTTTCTTATTCCATTATGAGAGGTGAGCAGCTGGCTGCCATGCTAAGCAGATCTCTTTATATACTCTGAGACCCTCCAAATGTGCACTGCTTATTCCAATCTTTAAAATATGCAACTATCTTCACACCCTTCCTTATGCATCCTGTTGGAATGTTCCTTTATGTAATGCATCATTTTAAATCATCCATTTTTTGCTACATTTTTTAACTTTACCTCTCTCCAAACCCTTTCTGTTAGTATCGCTATATTAATTCCTTCCCCTCTCAAATTGGCATTGTGCTTTCTACATGTTAACAGAAAGGCTTATTTTAGATCGTAATGTACCTTACCTTTCAGTCCTTGTTTTGAAGTGCCCAATGATAAAATTAAATCAGTCCCAATCAGAATCATGAAACCAACCTTAAAACAGTCTCCATATGTCTTAGGAAGATTTGCCTTCCTGGAGATGTGTTGATGAATTTTTAGCACAAATTAAACCTCAAAAAATTGTTCTTCAAGTATGTCTACAAGTATTCTATAGTGTGTTCTGCTACATGCCACCTCTGATACTTTAAATTGGTAGAGCCATTTTGAAGCTGAATGATACTGATTCAAATAGCCCTCCTTAAACCTTTCAAATGTGGGAAATACTTCTGGGAGGTGAAATGACTGGTCCCGGGGAAAGAGTACAGCAAGAGTGTTTTCCACAATACGATGCAGATTGTCATAGGGTTTGTTATTCTGCTTTCATTTTCTGCTACCCAAAAGATCTCTATTGTCAAAATAAAGCTAAAACAAACGTGCCTTTTAATTTTTCCTCTGACACTAACAGTAAATAACAACACCACCACAATAGCTATCTTTTTATAGCACTGACTATGTGCTAGTACTGTTATAAATACTTTACTTGAATTAATTCATTCAATTTTTACAATACTTTAGTGAGGGAGAATTTTTTATCATCATGATGTTACAGATGAAAAAACTGAGGCCTAGGGAGTTTAAGTAGCGTGTCCAAAGTCATGCATGGTATGATTAGGATTTAAACCCAAGGCACCAGGCTCCAAGAGCCTGTGTTATTAATTATGACCTGTGTTATAAATAGTTCAGAAAATTCACCTTTGTGATACAGTGCAATTGTCTGTTAAGGTATTATGGATTTAAAAAAAAAAGGTATTACAGATTTAGTCAGTATAAATATTTCCCAAGTAATGGTTCATCGTAACAAAAATTAGAAAAAGTAATAAATATGGTTTTAAGGTGGCTATTCTTCCCACCCATGGGAAGTGATAAACTGAGCATATATGCTCTGCCTGATATTTGAAGAAAGATCTTTCTAAATCAAAAAAATATATTAAGGGCTTCCCTGGTGGCGCAAGGGGTTAAGCAACGCACTATGGAGCAATCCGCAGCCTCTGCAGCACGACCGCAAGCCAGAGAGAAACCCAAATGGTGAAGCAGACCTCCCCTGTCTCACCCGCTGCTCCCCTCAGCAGTGTATTTCATCAATCTGCCTGTTCTGTTCCCCACTCTGTCTCTAGTGAATCCTCTCACCCTCCTGCCCATCTGGCCTGTACCCCGGTTCTTGTATAAATAAAATAAATAAATCTTTAATAAATAAATATTTTTTTAAAAAGTGGTTTTAAAAAAAAAAGTATATCTAAGATGAAAGAAGATCTCTTTATTTGACCTCCTGAGATCATGGAGCCACTATCAACATCTTTTTTTTTTTTTAAGATTCTATTTATTTATTTATACAAGCACTGGGTACAGTCAGAAGCACAGGAGGGTGAGAGAATTCACCAGAGCCAGAGCAGGGAAGAGAACAGGCAGACTGATGAAACACACTGCTGAGCAGAGCAGCAGGCAGCAGAAGAGGTCTGGCTGCCATGTGGAACCCTCAGCGGCGGCCAGGGATCGAACCGGCGCTGCAGAGGCTGCAGGCGGCTTTGCAGCCCAGAGCTCAACCGCTGTGCCACCAGGGGAGGCCCCACTATCAACATCTTAGAAGCTCCTAAACTTAACTGCTCCTAAGACATCTGGACCAGGGATAGAATACGGTAATTTGAAAACCAGTTTCTTACTTAGGGCCTGAATTCTTTAATAAGGCATATAAAAATGTATGAGAGGTAGGATAAAACATGGCATTCACATATTTTTATAATCTATAGGAGCCTGGCTAGTACAGTGGTTGAAAGGGCAATCTCCAAAGATATTATCTATATTCAAATTTAGCACTAATGTTTACACAGTATATGACCATGTGCTCATTATTTAACCTATCTGTATCTCAGTTTCCTTATCTAGAAAATTGAGATAACAGTAGTCTCCACTTCACAGGTTTGTTATGAGGATAAAATAAATCATTCAAAACGCTTCAAAATATGCTTGCCACACAGTGAGCATCTGATGAATTCTAACTATTATTTCCTTATTACTGTTAAACATCTTATTAATTTCATCCCTTATAAATACATACCACAAAACTTCTATATAAATGCTGTATGCTGTTTCATTTCTTTATTGTTAACTTCGATCTCAGTCTTCTTTCTTTTATTCTCTCTGGTGAAGTCTTCCTTATCGCTCACATTTCAGAACAAACTTCCTTTCTGTGTTATGCCCTCTCTGGCTGATAGTCTCCAGAGAGGGCCTCCAACCATTCCTCTGGTTTTGTATGCTCATGTAACTATGTCTAGACGGATAATTCAACACCTTCCTGTTGAATCTGAGCTGCCTTGGGACTGGCTTTGGATCACAGAGTATGGGGAAGTACATTCCCCATTCTAGAAGTACATTCTAGAATTCTCAAGTCCATCTCTTTACTTTCTACTCTTGTAGTCATTCATTGATTATGAGAATCCAATGCCAAATCGAGATACTAGGTGGGGTAGTAGTAAGGGAAAGGACTATGGCACATTATTGACAGCCCCAGATTAGCTCCTAGCTGATGCCAGGACCAACCTTCAGCCATGTGAATGAGAAATCCTGGATGGATTGGCCCAGTCAAGCCCAGATGACTGTGGCCCTAGGCATCATCATATACCCATTGTCCTTAGACAGCTCATAGAAACATAAGAGATAATCAAATAATGCAAATATTAAATGAAATTTTTAAAATTCTGTGCAAATGAACAAGCAAAAAAATATCACAAAAGGGCAAGTCTAACACTGGGAAAAGAAATCTGTCAGAATTAGTGTTCAAAATGTATAAAGAACTATGATTAATCAATATTAAAAAGTAAATAACTCAGTACAAAGTGGGCAAGGTGATAAACAAGTCTATATAAGAAAAACTCAAATGGTTAATACCATTATTCATTAAAATTCCAAAATAACATACCTCTCAAGGAAAACAAACAGGATATTACATGCTTGGTTACTGACCCCTTTTCCTATGCTTACGCCTGAGCTTAAGATATTTTCTGAATAGGAAGGGGGGAACAGGTAGGTGATTTGGGAAGATGTGGAATATAAGCTCCCCAAACTTCAGAATATTTCCACATCAAACTTTCCAGATAAGGTTGTTTAATAGCTATTAACCTTTCAATAATGTAAGCTGACATTTTATGTAATTGCATTTTTTGCAATTACCAATTACCATGTTTTGCTGATGTTTTGTAACAACAACATCTTACCAAAGGTTGGATGCAGTTGTAAAAGGTTCTCATATATTAACTCAGAACAACCCCATGAGGTAGGTATGATAATTATCTCCATTTTCCCCATGAGTCACAAAATGATGGCGAGACCAAGGTCACCCACACATACACAACCATGAATACAGATGATAAACTCTGAATGAAAAGGTATGGTAACTCTGGAGAGAAAAAGATGAAGCAAGTACACACAGGCGCTTCAACTGTATCTATAATGTAGTGCTGGCTTAAAAAAATCACTAAGGCAAATATGTTGAGATTTAATAAAACTGATGGCAGGTGCATGGTATAAACTAGTTTGTATACTTGTCTCTACATTTAAAGTGTCTCATAATAAAAATATAAAAACAAATGAAATGTGGCATAACAGAGAACATTCCAAAAATAAATAACAAAAGAAACAATTTACATATATTTCATCAAAGTCCTTTTTTGAGAAACACATTGCTTTACAAGAGCATCTGTTGCTCTGAGTCTAGGTCCTTTATTTTGATGGGTCCTGCCTCCTTTCAGAGATTTTACAGAATAAATTATTTCTGCTACAGCAATAACATACAGTTTTTCATAACACACAAAGTAACCCAAAACACATATTAGGAACCCCAAAACACATATTATGATTAACAGGTAAATAAAATAAGTGGCAAAATATTTATAAAATATAAGTAACATATTAGTCCTTGCCTACTAAAATATGCCACAGTACAGGTAGCAGCAGGTAATATATGAAAATAAAATGCTTTCATTTTTTAAAAAATAATTATTTATATATATTTTACATCATTGTTCATTTTTGTGCAATGTTTGCTTTCTTTTCTCAGGTGTAGTCCCCACGGAATTCCCACCAATTCACATGTGCACCATCACCATAGTCTCTTGTGCTCTTCTCACCCTTGTTTTGATCCCTCGCTTCCCCTCCCTTGCAGAATGTCTCTGATTTATAGTTGCCTGTTTATTTTTTATTATTATTGTTATTATGTTTTTTCCCCTGGTCCCTTATTTGGTTTCCCTATATTCCTTCTATAAGTGAAACCATCCAATATTTTCCTTCCGACTTATTACACTGAGCATAATCCCTTCTAGCTCCATTCATGTTGCTGCGAATGGCATTAGTTTATCTTTTTGATTGGTGAATAGTTTTCCATTGTGTATTATACCACATCTTCTTGATCCAGTCATCTGTATTTGAGCATTTGGGTTGTTTCCAAATCTTACCTATTTTAAATAGTGCTGCAATAAACATGGGGTGCTGGTATCCTTTTGAATTGATGTTTTTGTGTCCTTTGGATAGAAACCTAAGAGTGTGCCTTCACCTTTTATAGACCACTGACAGTTTTTCTTCTATGCAGAAGACAAGATATTTAACATTGATGATTTTGAATCTTGTTGATAACTTTCAAGTTATGATTAATGCCTCTGAAATATGGAAAGGTAAAATCAAGGGCAAAAAAGTCACTTTCAAGGCCTCCCTGGTGGTGCAGGCAGCTGAGCACAGCGTTGTGCAGTTGTCCGCTGCCTATGCAGTGCAGGTTCGATCCCGGCCAGCAGTGGAGATGCCCACATGGCACAGCAGACCTCTCCTGTCTCGCCCACTGCTCCCCTCAAGCAGTGTATTTCAGGCAGTCTGCCCGTTCTGTTTCCTTCTCTGTCTCTGGTGGGTCCTCTCACTCTCCCTCATATCTGGCCTGTGCCCTGGTTCTTGTATGCATGAATAAATAAATCTTTATTAAAAAAGTCATTTTCAGACCTCCCTGGTGGCGCAAAGGGTTAAGCACCGCACTATGAAGCAATCTGCAGCCTCTGCAGCGTGAGTTCGATCCCCGGCCAGTCAGAGAGCAACCCACATGGTGTAGCAGACCTCTCCTGACTCGCCCACTACTCCCCTCAGCAGTGTGCTTCAGTCAATCTGCCTGTTCTGTTCCCCACTCTGTCTCTGGTGAATCCATTCTCTTTCTCTCTCTCTCTCTCTCTCTCTCTCTCTCTCTCTCTCTCACACACACACACACACACACACACACACACACACACCCCTCATCTCTGGCCTGTACCCCAGCTCTTGTCTGCATAAATAAATAAATCTTTTTAAAAAATCACTTTCTATTCAAATATAACTTCATAGGACTGCTATTCTATTCCAACATTTAAATTCCAGGATGAACAGTGTTCTAGCTACCAAGTGAGAGATTCATAGGTAGGGAAGAACAGATTAAGAAGTGCGACACACAAGGAACTCCCTCTCATGAAGAGAACCTGAGATTTCAGAAAACTCTCTTTGCTATCTTTGTATTTCTTGCCATTGAGGTATCTCCATTCCCTTTATAGCTTATTCATATTTGTATGTCTTCCTGTGTACATGCAGACACAGTAATAGCACACTTAACCAGAGTTATTAAAGTTATTAAAGTGATCTAAACTTCATGCAACATAGCCATCGTAGGAAATATAGACAAAAGGCTCAAGAACAACCAAAATACAGAGCACAGAATTCAATCTCTGTCTTCCTGAACACAGAACTAAAAAAAGTTAATCACATGTTATCTAGACTGCTACAGAGGGAAGTTGTTTAAAAAAGTGTAGGTATAACTGGAGTTATTAGTAGAAGAAGATATGGTGGGAGATAAAAATTTGTCTTAGAACTTTTGGAAAACCTAATGATCAAGAATCACCACATAGTCAATCTATCCTATCTGAATAACTCAGATATGGAACAGAATTGTCTCTAAACACATGGTAGGAAATAGAGTGATCTTAGAACATATTTTTCAGTGTGCATATATATAAGCTTTATTTATTATTATATAAAGATCATTGCTCTTTTGTAATTTAAAGTTTTCACTTTCTATATTAAACATATTTTCCATGCCATCAGATGCTACTGTACATTATCACCATTATTACATCTAGTGTCTGCCAGATATCTTAGTCCGCTACAAAGAAATTTTGGAATGATAACCAAAAGTTCTCAATAATCTAGACCCAAAACTTACATTGGGAGTCTTTTTTTTCTTTTAATTTCCATAATTTCAAAATGTCTTAAATTATTGTGTCACTGACTCAGAAGGGTCACTTATGGACTAAAAAGTACTGGAAAGTAAAGCAAACTATATATTTCCAAATATTATCTCTGTGCATTTAATTTCTTTAAAAATCAGTAGTATCAGATTCTTTTAATGCTAGTCATTGGCATTTCTCCTTTTTAAGTTATTACTTCATGTTCTTTGTTCAAGGTCCTATTTAGAATATTTTTCTCAATTTAAGAGATATCTCCTATAATACAAAATTAATAGTTTAAATTTATGTTCTAAATAGTCTTCCCCACCTAGAATTTGTTAATTTTTTGCTGGTGGAAGGTTTCAAACTAGTCATGGTTTTCAATGTTTATCCTATGCTTCTACATTTATTGCCATTCATACAAAGATCACTACCCCATGGTTATATAAATAACCCCATGAACATTTTTTATATGAACATATGCTTTTTCAATGCATGTTTAAATCTTAATATGCACATATTTGAGGTTTATGTTGGTATGAGTCATGAGAAGGAATTCTAACAATGCTTGTCCCAAAATTTGGTATCTGTGCCCAGTCAGTTAAGTACCTTGAACATTGACAAATTCTTATATCTATGTGAGTCTGTAACTGGGTTTATCATTCTGCCACCAATTAATTATAAATTGATCATTTGATGACTTCAAACATTTAAATCAATAAAATCATAAAGGGGGGCCTCCCTGGTGGTATTGGGATTAAGTCTCTGCCTCCATGGGCTGAGTTCAATCCTGGCCAGGGAGCTAATCCACATGGCACAGCAGCCCTCTCCTGTTGCATCCATTGCTCCCCTCAGCAGTGGATTTAGTAGATCTGCCTTTTCTGCTCCCCACTCTATCTCTGGTGAATCCTCTCATCCCTCATACCTCTGGCCTACACCCCAGTTCTTGTATGCATAAATAAATAAAAATAAATCTTTAAAAAATTACAAATAAAAACATAAAAACAAAAAGCAACAAATTAGAAAAAAATATTGCAGCAAATATAAGTGGTAAATGATAAAATTAATATGATAAATCATACAAGGCAACAAAAATTTGCCAAAACCCCAGGGGAGG